ACAGCAACCCCCCCCCAACCGAACACCCCCCCACCCCGCAGTCCCGCTCAGTTCACATACAAAAGTTACCAACATCGTAAGTACGTGAAAGACTGAATTCTAACTGCCATTCAGCAGGCACTGATTCGTTAAGTCATGAAAACCACTCTTAATAAAAAGCAATCTGTTCATTTGATCTAAACTAAGAATATTCAACAGATTATCTACATGAACACTATCAACTGTTATCACATTCCTACTTGCTGTTATGGCATTAGCTAGAAATGTGTAATTTCTTTCATTTGTCTTGGCATGTAGTTCTTCAAAAACAATTCACTTAAAATACCTACATAATACATGGACATGTTGGATCATTATAAATTCTGAATCAACTGTCCAATGTCCTTTTCTATGCCCAAGATGCTGGTCTTCAAGAAATGCTCCTTCAGAGGAAGGGGGAATAAACTTTGCAATAAAAAATTGCATCACCTCTGTATTAAGAAACTTCTTAAAGTTCCAAGAGTAAATGGTGAGGCTTTGCCTGGAAATACAAACATCTAAGCCATTCCCCAAATTCCTCCTTTAAAGAAAAATCCTGCTCTATTAACTCTGGAGGTTCTTGTTATCTATACACACATCAAATTATTTTAACTGCTGCTAAATTTTTAGCTCTAAGTCTGCCACATGACGAACTAATGTTTGTGATAAAAATATCTGTTTGATATCTACCCCATTTCAATTTTGTGAATATCAACTTGTTCTCACAACATAAGACTTAATCTTCTATGCGAGTTACCCCCTCCTTTTTCTTTATTTTGTTTTCCTTTTGCAATAATCCAGTATGAAGGCTAGATAGATGGGCTCATACAAGAGCACGGAGAAGACAAGCATCCAAACAAGAATCATCCACATGATACAGGATTAAGCCCTAAGTAAATCAATTTTACTAGCATAAGAAAAACACAGACTCTTCATTTGTGACATTTACGCAAGTGCTGTTCTTGAGTGCTTTCTTCACAGTACTTTTTTATTTGGGAAAAATCAACTGAGTGAAATTGAATCTAACTCTTTATGAAGAAGACTGGTCCATTTACTATAAAGAAGTAGAAGAAGGAAACTCTCATTACCTTACCAATGCCACACCTTGTCAACATTTCAGCAGTCACACTGCCAACTCCACCTACACCTACTACTGCAACTGTAAAGGTACGGATTTTCTGCAGAAAGAAATAAAATACAGATCAGTATATCAAAAGTGGTCCTCACAGGGAAAAAATGCAAGGCTGTTTTAATGCAGATAGAATCCTACCTCATAGTCTTTGACAATTCCCATTCTTTTTAACGCCATCAAGCGACTACAAAGAAAAACAGCAGCATTATACAGAAAATGTTCTCTACCTTTCTAATAGCAGTTTTGCTTTTCAGATATTTAAAATCACTTTTGCTTTAAAAATAACCCCACCAAGCACCAAACTCAAGCCTGCTGTTTTCACTGCAGTTGTAATTGCCAGCTAGATACAGTCTAAATGAGATAGTAGATGCTTTCCTTTTAGCAACAGCAACAGAGTACTAACCCTGCAGAAACTCATGTACTTATTCAGTTGGTATGAGTAACATCAATGAAATCAGGAGGACCCATAGCTGTTTTTGTAAATGAATCCCTGATTTACAGAATGAAAGCCTACACTTTTTTCCGGAACGAACCATATGGCAGCAGGTCAGTGAAGACTCTTCCACTGTTTTCTGATCAATTTGATTAGATTTACTCCAACATTTCATTAAAAAAAAAAAAATTAGAGAATATCAGGTTGTGAGGATAACTGGAAGAATTTTAAAGTAACATTTTATCCTGCTACTGCATTTTTTCATTGAAAGTAACAGTGAAAGTACAAAAATCGATTTGTATTAAAGCAATTCATCCTGAAAAAAAATAATGCATCAGATTTCCAGAAGCACTGAGCATTAGAAGGGATCCCAGATGCTCAAGACCTCTCTAAACCAAACTCTAAAATAGGTAAGTTGGAGGAATGAGAGTAAGATCTCACGTAATACCAACACCTGCCCCATTTATTAGCGACGTAGCTGAAAAACTCACAGTTTCTTCTCTCTGTGTGCTGTAAAGCAAGATAATACAAAGTAACCCCGAGGTACACCCCTGCCAGCCCAGCCAAGTGGGAAATTTGAGAGGACCTCTCCCCTTGCCCCCCGGCCGCACCTGTAGGGGTTGGAGTCCGTCACCTCTGGGCTCATGCTCTCGATGCGGGCCCGCGGCGCCCGCCGCCCGCCCTTCTCCCGGGCCAGCTCCTCCTCCAGCTCCCGCACACGCCGCTCCAGCTGCTCCAGCCGGCTCGGCTCCGCCATGGCAGCGCCGGCGACACCTCAGCGACACGTCCCCCCGTCTGAGGGAGCTTCCGGGAGCGTCAGGGAGCGCCGTCCCCTGCT